GACCAACAGCACTGTCGTAAGTTCAATAAAGTGTTCATAGTAGTTGTTAAACCAAATATATTTAATAAGAACATGCAAATGAGAGAGTAAAGCCAACAGGTTTGTAGAGCTTCTTCGTGACGTCCACTCACTCGACCAGTTTGTTAGAAGCATTCAAAGAAAAGCTTTGGGCATAGCAGGTGTAAAATGCCTGCAGGCTGCCAGCTCTGTAGCTGTTGGTTTCCTTCATGCTATGATCAGCTGGTGATCTGCTGACAGTAGAGATGTAAATGCAGAACAGTGTAGAGCTGGATCGATTAGAGCGTCGTCACCAATACCCTGTTTTGCTTTTTTAGTCTGGACTGCATTGATATGTGATCCAAACACTGGATTGGTTCATCTGTAGTAAAGAACAATCACTTAAGCTTGCACATTTGTGCTGCTGTTTAGTGTTTGAGATGAGAATGATCAGCACTTTTATCAAATATCAATACGAGATTAAAAGTTTTTTTTCTGTGTATATTGTGTATATTGACTTCATCTTAATACAGATCCTCCTTGTGTTTGTAGGTTATACAGTTATACAGTGCCCTGAAAACATTGTGAGCAACACCTCATGTCTTTGCATTTTGCTTGGAAAATAGAAAATAGGTGCAACAATTTATTGAAATATCTGAAAACCTAAAAAGAAATCCATTGTATAAGACGTGCCAGGTTTATGTTTATATCAAGTTTCAGGCTAATAGTGCTGCAGATATCAGCCTGTTGGTGAAAAAACACTATTTTATGAATGTCAGACTGTATTATCTTTGGCATTTTTCATAGATTCAGCTAAAGAAATTGGAAAAAGATACAATTTAATTATTTATTTTTGCTGTGTTATAATGTCTAGATATAACCCTGGTTCATCCCTCGAATTAGGTGTTTTTTTTATGAATGATTCATAGGTTAGGCTTAACAAATTAAAACTAAATGAAAATGTTTGGTATAGGGCTGCCACGATTAGTCGACTAGTCACGATTACGTCGACTATCAAAATCGTCGACGACTGATTTAATAGTCGACGCGTCGTTTGAAGCTTTGTAAGATCCCAAAGGACGCAGGAATAAGTAGTAGGATTTAAGAGTGTAATAACGGACTGAAA